TAAGTTTGGATCCCTTGATGATGACATGGATGTGTCCGACCAAAGCCATGGTAGGACACATAGCTTGTCGCCATCAAGGAAGGTGAGGGGAAGATCTCCTGTTTATCCTCCGAAGAAATAATGTCCTCACCTATAATACAATGGAATTGTAGAGGACTTCGGAATAATTTAAATGATTTACAATTATTAATCCAAGATTTAAAACCGTCAGCTCTCTCCATACAAGAAACATATCTGAAACATACTGATAATTTTGACTTACGTCAATTCAATGCATATCACTGTTTTTCTCCCTCGGGTGACAGAGCTATTGGTGGATCATCAATCCTGGTGAGGCAAAATGTTATCCATAGCCCAGTTACACTCACAACCAATCTCCAAGCCGTTGCAGTGCGTCTTACGTTGCACGTTGCACTCACTTTGTGCTCTTTATACCTTCCGCCTTCATCAACTGTTCAACTAACCGATCTGCAAGCTCTTTATGATCAGCTACCTAAACCTTGTATAATCATGGGTGATTTAAATGGCCACAACCCACTCTGGGGTGGCACTAATACAAACACCAAAGGTAAATTACTGGAGGATTTTATTTCCAACAACGATTTATGCATTTATAATGACTGTTCAAATACGTATCTTCATCCTGGCACAGGAACATATACAGCTCTTGATTTGTCAGTTACTGACTCCAACCTATTGTGTGAATTTGAATGGTCAGTCCACGACGACCTCTGTGGAAGTGACCATTTCCCAACATTGCTAAAACCTGTGAATCCATCTGACGTTCCTCCATCATCAAGATGGAATTTTAAAAAGGCTAACTGGCCTTTATATGAAGCTCTCTGTGCTGACAATCTGAAACCTGAACTTTTTAATGACATTCCTGATGCCATAAAATGTTTTTCAGATGAACTAAATAACATAGCTGATGAGTGTATCCCAAAGTCCTCTGCAATTCCTCACGTACGAAAACCATGGTTTACCAATGACTGCAAACAGGCTAGGAAGGCACGGAAGAAAGCCGAGCACTATTTCCGTCGCCATCCTATGGTCCACAATTTGGACAAATATAAAATTTTAAACGCCAAAGCACGACGTACTTTCAAGCAAAGTAAACGCCTATCTTGGCGAAATTATATATCAAAAAATTAATTCTCGCACACCTATATCCAAGGTGTGGAATATGATCCAGAAAATCAAGGGTAAGGGCTCTAAGTCTAGCATTCACCATCTCAAAGATGGAAACGAATTACTTACTAATAAATCTGATATTGCTAATAAACTTGGTGAGACGTTGGCTAAACATTCTTCCTCATCTAATTATGTACCTGAATTCCAAAAATATCAAAAAACAGCAAGAAAAGAAAGCTATTAATTTCAATTCAAATAATGGGGAAGACTACAATGAAACCTTTTCGATACATGAGCTACATACCGCTCTTGATCAGGCTCATGATACTGCTTCAGGGGCTGATAACATACATTATCAACTCCTGAAGCACTTACCTGAATCATGTTTAGAGACGCTCTTACACATTTTTGACGACATTTGGACATCTGGAAATTTTCCTTCCTCGTGGCGCGATGCTATTATTGTTCCCATACCTAAACCTGGACGGGATCATACAGATCCCTCTAATTATAGACCAATTTCACTCACTAGCTGCGTTTGCAAAACCATGGAACGAATGATCAACAATCGACTTGTTTGGTACTTGGAAACCAATAACCTTATAACTAATATACAATGTGGTTTCCGTAAAAACCGTAGTACCATCGATCATTTAGTGCGTTTAGAATCTTTTGTAAAAAATGCCATAATTAATAAACAACATGCAGTGTCAATCTTTTTTGATTTAGAAAAAGCATATGACACTACATGGAAACATGGTATTTTAAGAGATTTACACGATTTTGGATTGAGAGGCCGTTTGCCTCAATTTATATCCAAGTTTTTAGCTGACAGGCAATTTCAAGTCCGCGTGGGTTCTACCCTGTCTGACCATTATAATCAGGATCAGGGTGTCCCACAAGGCAGTATTTTGTCTGTCACACTTTTTAGCATCAAGATCAACAGTTTATCCAAGGTTTTAAATGATTCAATAGATGGATCTCTTTTTGTGGATGATTTTAATATTTCTTGTCGTGGTAAGAATATGCATACTATTGAACGGCAACTGCAGCTGTGTTTAAATAAAATACATAAATGGTGTCTTGAAAACGGTTTTAAATTTTCCAAGTCCAAAACTAATTGTCTACACTTTTGTAGAAAATATAAGCCTCATAAAGACCCGGGAACTATCTCTAAATGGCACTCCCATCAAAGTTGTGAAGGAGGCCAAGTTCTTGGGTATTATTTTTGACTCACACTTAACGTTTCTACCACATATTAAAGCACTTAAAACTAAATGCCTGAAGGCACTTGACTTGTTGAAAGTCGTTTCCAATTCTAAGTGGGGAGGGGATCAAGCTACCCTCCTACATCTATATCGATCACTGGTACGTTCCAAACTTGATTATGGTTCCATCGTTTATGGTGGAGCCTGCAAAAGCAACCTAAAACTATTAGATTCTGTCCACCACCAAGGTCTGAGACTTTGTCTTGGCTCTTTTAGAACTTCGCCTGTTGACAGCCTCTACGTAGAGGCAGATGAGCCATCTCTTGCACAACGCCGTATCAAATTATCATTACAGTATATTACCAAACTGCTCTCAAACAAATCTAACCCTGCATATAACTGCGTCTTTCATCCCCTCTACGAGGATTTATACAACAAAAAACCTTCTCTTGTTCCACCCCTTGGGCACAGAATTAAACCATTTCTTTCTGCTGCTGGCATTGAACTGGATAATATGTCTCCTTCCCGTCTTCTTTCTTCTCCACCTTGGCAACTGGTGAGGCCTGAAGTTGACCTAACTCTGACACAGTTTAAGAAGTCTGAAACTAATGAATTACAGTATAAACAAGAATATAATCAATTAAAAATCAAATATAATACATATAAATCCTTATTTACAGATGGATCCAAGGCTGGTGGCGCTGTAGCTTGTGCCACTGTCATTGGGTCCAAGACAATATCATCTCGATTGCCTGATAACAGCTCTATTTTCACGGCGGAAGCTAACGCCATATTAACAGCTTTAGAATATATTAACTCACACCGTAAATATAAACAATATATAATCTTTTCTGACTCTCTTTCTTGCCTTCAGGCCATTAAAAATATTTCTTGCAAACATCCACTTTTATTAGAAATTATTGAATTGTATAATGAGCTTGCTACTGGCCAATGCGACATCGTCTTTTGTTGGTTACCCAGCCACGTTGGCATTTCTGGGAACACCATGGCTGATCTTGCTGCCAAGGCAGCACTCAACAAATCTGTGACACCACTTCTTATCCCATACTCTGATTATAAAGCTTGCATTAGAACATACATCCGTGATCTAATGCAGAAGAAGTGGGACACCCAAGTCGGTATTAATAAATTACATGAAATAAAACCCTACATTGGTTACACCTACTTGGGTTGTCAGTCCAGATTTGAAGAGGTCATTATGCGACGATGTCGCATTGGCCATACCAGATATACTCATGAATATTTATTGAAAGGCGAAGATCCTCCGTTTTGTATCCCTTGTGATGAAAGAATCACAGTCAAGCATGTCCTGCTTGACTGTGTTGAATATTCCATCACAAGGGATAAGTATTTTAATGTCAAAACATTGAAGGATCTTTTTTTATAATGTTAATTATCATTTAATAGTTGAATTTTTAAAAGAATTAGATTTGCTGACTGATCTGTAAATAGCTAAGTATTTTATTGTTGGTAGTTTATATTAGTAACTGAGATTGTTAGTGGCTGTACCCTCAAAGGGGGGTTGACGTAGCGTAAAATTATTGTCCTCCTGAGAGGGTACGTAAGTCCCAAAATTTTCAAAGTCAATTTAAACTTGCCAGGATTTTTAAACGTAGCATTCTTGTAATTTTAATTGTAGCTAACATTCCTTACAATCGCCAGCAGCTGAAGGGATGGTGTAAATCCAACTAGGGACCATGCAGGTAGCCAAGGTACTGTAAGTCCCCATGGTCCCTGGTATGGTGATCTACCTTCAGTTGTTGGCGGTCTATAGCCTATTTTTATATTGTGTTGTTCCCTATAGTTGAAAAGTTTTTAGATTTAATTACTAGTTTTACATGTATATGTGTGATACCCTAGTTGTTTTACTGTCCTTCGTTGGCAGAATTTTATAATTTAACTTAAAATGTTGATATATTTATAACTTGCTTAAGTCACGATATGGCTGAAATATTGCCGATGTGACTTAAAATCTTAACTCACTCACTCACATTTTTATTTGATGAAACAACATCTGGGCAAGGGTTACATGGTGCGCTTTGACATCTTGGTGAAAAGGGCAATCTCGAAATCTGTGCACCCACTAAATACCAGAGTTTCTGGATCTCCTAGGTGGAAGTCTTAGTTGAATGTGGAATAAAAGAACACTCACTCACACCAAAGACTGACCCCAATGTCTCGAAACAAACTTAAGTATGAGTTATGATTTAGTTAACTGTGAGAAAACGCAGGAAAATGCATCTCCAAGAATAATTTGAGTTAGGTACATAGGTTATACGAGTTGTTTGGGCTTTTTGGTTTTAGAATTGCGACTGAGTTAGAAACTCAGCTGTTTCAAATTGTCAAACTCAATCTGAGTAAAAACGTAGGTTTGTTTCGAGAAATCAGGTCCTGGAGTTGCTGGAGCTCCTAGTTGGAGTTGATAGTTGAATGCTGAGTGAAACAAGGTTCACTCACTCCCTCTCCCTTCAGCAAACACGAGTTGGGAATTAGAACCCCTCGTCTCTCTCTCAATGCATCGCAATACTTCGAGGCCAATAGCGTATTGCACGGCTATTACTTCACTTTATTTTAAAAATCCACTATGTTCGCTCACTCGCCTCAGCAAACACGGCTTAGGAATTAGAACCGCCTTTCAAGACCAGTTTACAAAGTTTATTACAAAAATACAGATGAAGAATCAGCTTACACAGTTATAACATTATGAATCAAACATGAGAGAACAGGAACAGTAACAGATCATTTAAACTGTTTCTTTGCATACTTTACAAACATGTCTATTGTGTGATCAGCGTCTGCATACTTAGGCATGGCACCGCCCCATAACAGAAAGCCATGTATAGACCCTGGGGAGTTGTAGACAACCACGTCCACACCGGTGTCCTTCATCCTCTGAGCATACATGAGACCATCATCCCTCAGAACATCAAACTCGGCTGTAACAACAAACGCTGGAGCTACTCCACTAAGATCCGGAGCCATCAACGGTGCAAAATAAGGATTCAAGATAAACTTCTCAATTTGATTGGAAATCTCCTCATCGCCATAGTCTAAATTTTGAGTTTGTTCGGAGCTATCACCGCGGTATTTCGTTGGCACCAGCTTGGAATCAACGTACGAAGCATAGATGGATTGTTTTAACTTCCTAGAAGTATGGTTATTGGTTCTGAAGGCTTTTGTCATGGTCGGTCAGTTGATATTCATGTAGTAGCACCAGTAACCGGCCATCGACTCGCGTTGCAGAAAGTAGGGTACTGCATCCTCATTGGAAATGTAGGATGGTGTCTTGAAGCTGAAGGCTTGGGTTGCTGGGTAGATGAGCCACTGGAAGCTCAGTCTGGGCATGTCCTTCAGCTCAGAGAGTTTAAGAGCCACTGCAGCGGCAAGATTACCACCAGCACTGTCTCCTGTGTAAGAAGACGTGAGGTAATTAGATGTTTGTTTGATCGTTTTTTGTCTATCGCCGGAGTTAATGTTGGGAAAAATATCCAAAAGCATTGAAAAACCGGATATTTCAGACAGACAGACAGACAGACGCACGGACGGACGCACACACACAATACACACACAATTCCCCTTGCAAATAAAGAAAATGAAACACGCTACAACAACATAAACACATGAAACGTGCGGGACTATGAAATAACGGAGTCCCTATCTCTAGATTGCCCAGCTCCGGGCTGACTGCAGTCAGATCATGCGCATGGCCTGTTCCACACGTATCCATGCATATGTTGTTTGTTGTTCAACGTCGCACTCAGTAATTATCAAGCTATATGTCGAATATGGATCAGACGGGTCCGGATCTGATAATGCGGTGATTGACATCATGAGAATCGATTTACGCATTTAGGTTACAATAGCTTGCATCAACCAAGTCACCGAACATGTTCGATCCAATCGATCCCGTTCGTCGCCTCTTACGACAAACATGGATTTCTGAAGATTAATTCTAACATCAGTTACATATACACATGGAAACAAATAAAGGAACACATGAAAGTACAAGTGTTCCTTTATGCTTTTCCAGATTTTCACCCACAGTGCAATACAAAGCACGCGAAGAAACCTGGAAAAGAATATAGGAACACTTGTATTTTCACGTGTTCCCTTATTTGTTTCCATGAGTATATTATACAGTCGTGCAAAACTCGTTACAACCTAAACATTCTTCGTCGGTGGCGTTGCCTAACGGTTAAAGCGCATAATGGTCACGCCAAAGATCCGGATTCGATTCCTGACATGGGTTCAAAACGTAAAGCCAATTTCTGGTGTCCCCCGCCTTGAAATTGTTGGATATTGCTGAAAGCGGCGTGAAAATCATAGTCACTGACTGACTGACTGACTCATTCGCACAATCTTACCGACGTTTATTGGTGGGTCGAACATAGTTATTCTGTGGGACAACAAGAGTGTGAGTTTTGTGTTTCAGTAACAGGCTTCTTACCTGCTATAGCAATCTTCTGTGGGTCTACTCCATACGTCTCTGCGTGTGTGAAGACGTGAAGGGCAGCCTTCACACAGGTTTCAAACGGTACTGGGAACGGATTGTCTGGAGCGAGTGGGTACCTGTAGAGTTTAACATTTTGGACTGCTCATTGAAGTTGTTACAGAACAATGTCATGTTATTTTGTGTGTGTTTGTTGTTTAGCGCCGAACTCAATATTCAGTATTCCAGCTAGATGGTATCTACATAATCGAGTTGGATCAGAATATTCAGTGATTAACAACATGAGCACAGATTTCATCGAAACAAAGTCATATCTCAAACTACTAACCATCCGATCCCGTTTATCGCCTCGTATGACAAGCACTGGTTGCTGGAGACCAACCCGGGTCTTCATGATATAGACAGTGCTGTTTCCCTGTAGGGATTGTATGTCGACGGATGCTCATAATATCACTCCTTGGTTTATGGGGTTCAGTTTCAATCATAAAGCAGGGATTGGGCGCAGAGTGACGTTAACGTGGGGGACACTTTCAAAAGGAAATGCGTTCTGTCACAGCAAACGTTCATAGGTTGAACAGTCATCAAACATACTGCCATTGTTTTACTCAATCGATGGGTGAGTGAGTTAGTAATTAACGTCACATCGGCAATATTGCAGCCATATCGTGAAGAGAACATATGTGACATTGAAATGGAATTTATGTATAGTAAAAACACCTGTCGACGAAGGACAGTGAAACAGCTAGAATATCACAATTAGAATTAAAACTAGCGTGGCAAGTTAAAACTAATAGCACTATTGAGCCGATACAATATAAAAACAGGCTAGATCACCAGCAACTGAAGGTAGATCACCATACAAGGGACCATGGGGACTTTGCTTCCTGTATGGACTCAATCGATGGGAATCTACATTGTGTAGTTAGATATTTCCTGATGCACGAATCGATTACCGTACATACAAACTGATTACAAACAGTGTGTGAAGACTTGTTTGAAGCGGTATTGGGAACGGATTCTCTGGAGTGAGTGGGTACCTGTAGAGTTTAACATTTTTGACAGCTCATTGATGTTATTGGAGAACAATTTCATGTTTTATTTGTTTGTTGTTTTACGCCGCACTCGGTACTTAGTACTCCGTCTATATGGTGGCGGTCTGTAAATAATCGAGTCCAGACCAGAAAATCCTGTGATCAACATCCTTAGCATCCATCGACGCATTTTGGACACGATGTCACGTGTCCACCAAGTCAGCGAGTCTGACCACCTGATCTAGTTAGTCACCCCTAACGACAAGCATGGGTTCATGAAGACGAATATTAACCTAGATCTTCACGGGTCCTGTCATTATATAATGATCTTGCAACTGGCCAATGCGACATCGTCCTCTGTTGGTTACCCAGTCACGTTGGTAATTCTGGGAATACAATGGCCGATCTTGCTGCAAAGGCAGCACTCAACAAATCTGTGACACCACTTCTTATTCCTTACTCTGATTACAAAGCTAGCATTAGAACATACATCCGCGATCTGATGCAGAAGAAGTGGGACGCCCAAGTAGGTATTAATAAGTTACATGTAATAAAACCCTATATTGGTTACACCTACTTGGGTTGTCAGTCCAGATTTGAAGAGGTCATTATGCGACGATGTCGCATTGGCCATACTAGATATACCCATGAATATTTGCTTAAAGGCGAAGATCCTCCGTTTTGCATCCCTTGTGATGAAAGGATCACAGTCAAGCATGTCTTGCTTGACTGCATTGAATATTCCATCACAAGGGATAAGTATTTTAATGTCAAAACACTGAAGGATCTTTTTAATAATGTTAGTTCTCATTTAGTTATTGCCTTTTTAAAAGAATTAGATTTATTAACAGATTTGTAAATAGCTAAATATTTTATGATTGGAAGTTTGAATTAGTAACATAGATTGTTAGTGGCTGTATCCTCGAGGGGGGTTAAAGTACTGTAAAATTATTGTATTGAGAGGGTACGTAAGTCCCAAAACATTCAAAGTCAATTTCAACTTTCCGTTTTTTAATCGTAGAATATTTGTAATTTTAATGTATGGCTAGATATGTCTTAATTGCTAACGGCTGAGGGGATGATATAAATCCAGCTAGGGCCCATGCAGGAAGCAAATGTACTGTAAGTCCCCATGGTCCCTAGTATGGTGATCTACCTTCAGTTGTTAGCGATCTATAGCCCATTTTTAGATTGTGTTGTCCCCTATGGTTAAAATGTTTTAGATTCAATTACTAGTTTTACATATATATATCTGTGATACTCTAGTTGCTTTACTGTCCTTCGATGACAGGTTTTATAATATATACATATTCCATTACAATGTAAAATGTTCTCGTCACGATATGGCTGAAATATTGCCGATGTGACGTTAAATATTAACTCACTCACTCACTCACTCACGGGTCCTGTCATAATGTTGCTTCTCTGTACCTCAGAACAGGAAGCAACTTTATGGAAATGCTAATTCTGAGATGTGTGCTTTGTACATAGTCTCATGAAGTTGTGTGGTGAATACTGGTTGGAATATATTCCCAGGAGCCTACTTTTGTTGTACACAGTGTCTCAATTGATCGGATGATGAGGTTGATCGGGGATAGAATAGATTTCGGGGTTTTACTCACTCAATGGAAATAAAAACATATCCAGATCGAACTGCAAATTCTGATACAACATCGTCGTAAGTATCTGGAAAACAAAAATACAATTTATAACAATAAAACTGTATATACTTCTGTACTTGCGTCCTCTTCCTCCAATATCAATGATTATTCGCACTATAACCAAACAACAAGTGTCTGGTTCAGAAACAAATGTACATGTAAGATGAGTAATTTGTCCTTGTGGTATATCAGGGATAGAGAATAATGTGTTACTTCAGTTATATATAGTCACATATCTTAAACAATAGACGAGCACCATGGCTCTATCTACCTTCAGTTGTTGACGATCTATAGCCCATTTATATATTGTGTTGTCCCCTAAAGTTAAAATGTTTTAGATTTAATTACTAGTTTTACATACATATCTGTGATATTCTAGTTGCTTTACTGTCCTTTGTCGGCAGGTTTTATAATCTCTATATATATTCTGTTTCAATGTCAAGTGTTCTCGTCACGATATGGCTAAAATATTGCCGATGTGACGTTAAATAATAACTCACTCACTCACTCAATATAGCGTTTTTAAGAGTACAAACTAATCAGTAAGTATCGGTTTCAGCATTCAAACATCATGTTCACGCCAATCTCCATGGTTTGTTTGATGTTTAACGCCACACTCAGCCACATGGACAAGACAATCCAGTGATTTACATCATGAGCATCGCCATACGCAATTGAGATATGATGGCATGCTTCAGTCAAATCAGCGAGCCTGACCATCCGATCCGTTAATCGCCTCTTTCGACAAGCATGGGGTGGTGAAGAAGAGTTCTCACCCGATCTGTACATGATGTGTTCAATCGCATAGAATATATGAAGTACAAAGACTATGTGCTGTCCTACCCACGCTCAGGATAGTCCAGCCCCCACCATGTATATATATCACAGAAGGCGATGGGTCCGTGGCATTTGTTGGCCGATACAGTCTGACGGGAATGTCATCAAAGGTGTAATCTTCCACCTGAAAATGGAAGGTACACCTGTATATACTAAGATACAAACACTCAAAGGTGATATTGGTAAACTATGGTGCTGATTCGCAAGAAACATGGTGTCTTTATATGGTTTTGCCTTTCATTTTTATAAAAAGATATATATTAGGTGAGGTGAAATTGGGTTTAACGTCATGCTTGAGAATATTTCGCTCATATGACGACGTGCATGCGTGTGTATGTGTATTTGCGGCTGCTTGTACTAGCCCAGACTGAAGCTAGTTTTATAGTGCTAGCCCACTGAGATACCATGCCGCAGTTAAGGATGAATACCCCCCTCAGACACATTATATTGACTCCGAGCCGACCAGTCCTTGTTGTACCCATTAATGCCGAGCGCCAGGCAGGGACCAACAAGTACCATATTTGAACGTCTTTTGGTATGGCGCGGTCGGGATAGATATAGATTAAACTGTTACAGGGACTGAGTGAGAGTGTGAGTGAGTTAAAATAAGTCACAAAGTCGGCAGTAATTCAGCAATATCGTGACTAAGAAAGATGTAAGTTTATAAATGAATAAAAACAAAATTTAACTTAGACAATGACCTACTTTTAAGCTGATCCGAATTTTCTCACACATATACATCACAAACAAGCATGGTTCCAATTCCTTGTTTCATAACAAATGGTATTTGCAAATATATTTAAGTTTTATACGTTAATGACATCGTATTTCTATTATGGCGAGGTGTAGGCAGCATGACCTGTTATGTGTTTTCTGCGCATATTCAGTGTAGGTCTGTAACGCACAATGTGATTGATATATTATCAAGTCCGTACCAGATCGCCAAACCTTTTTAGCGTGAGAGCCTCGTTTTGAGTTTTCCAGGTTTCCGTTTGTCAGAGCCCGCTGTACGACAGAGCACGCTGCACTACGTGTTTGCGAGGATTAGAAGGAGCAGTTTACAAGTGTTTAGATGTATCAAACAATACTGATTAATAATTATGTATATATCCAGTTAAATGAATTGGTCTCAAAATTCTGGACTGGTTATTGTACTAAGTTGCGCAATAGGACATGACCCAGTCAACAGGAAACGAGACTATTGTGTAATCAATGTTTTGACTTGTATAGATTGCCAAAAACCGAAGGTAGATCACCATACAAGGGACCAACTGTTACAGGGCAATAATTAAATACCTGCGTGAAAGTCGTGTCCCATTCAGCAATATCACACCCAAATATAAAATGTCAATACCAGAGAATAACCAGTCTCGACTGTATGCCTCAACGGATTCAGTGTTGCTTTAAATGCTGTGACCATTATGCGAAAGTAACAGTAAAAAAAAAAATTGACGAAAGGAAATCATGTTCTTGAAAGGACAAAACATGTAACCCACAACTCAAAATCTGCATCTAATAATAAGTGTTTATTTGTTACATATGTTATATTTGGGATTACACTTTCTTAGTGAAATACAAATTTTAACACTTTTGTTGGGTTGAGTCCGATCCGGGATTCGAACCCACACCCTCAGAGTCAGGCACCTAATCGCCGGCTGACATTGTGTGCTGTGAGCGGGTTAGGCGGCTGACTTTGTCTGCTGGGTGTGGGTTCGAATCCCGGATGGGACTCAACCCAACAAAAGTACGAGAATTTGTACTTTACTGAGAAAGTGTAATCCCAAATATAACATATGTTACATTTGACCACTTTCTAAATGGTATCTTGTTTCCATGTTTGTTGGCACCCATGAAAGGCCACCTCCTCGTGGTGGGTGCTGGGTCACGCTAAGCGCCTTTCAACCCCCGTTGTGGACCCGGGGGGCATATTTTGGTCCACCAACCCGTTTGCCGTGGGTTGCGCCCCTGTGTCGGTGGAGGACGGGAGGCTGGTGGTTGAGGGCACTGGTTCCAGGAACAGTGTTCCTTTGCCCAACACACCACTTCGCCCCTTACTTCACCTAGACGGGTGGTTGAACTGGCCCGGTTCAATCAATCGGCTGGTCACGCCAAGCCCTGTGCTACAACTGTAAAATGTTGCACAAAATTTGAGAATTATTATATGATATTTTTAAGTCTTGGCAATTTTTGAACTTTGAATTTTTGAATTTCAATTAAACAATTTCATGTATGTTTTGCCTAGAGTCGTATGCCCAGAAGGCGGTGGCTCATGGGCCAATCTGGTGGATTCATTAATCTTTAATTTTTCTGCTGGAGTATGTCATCCGGGTATCCTTGGTGCTGCAAGTCGGAGATCCGCTTGTTTTTCGCATTGTCCTTGTGATACTCCGTGGTGGGTGGGGAGCTCGGATGATGAACCACTTAACTTTAACCATGGCTTACGAAACCCCCGTTAAGAAAACGAAACGTCCTCTAGACATTGATCGTGACGATGATGAACACAGACCGACCCAATCAATTGATTACTGGCCACGCTTTGTAGTGATCGAGACTCATGATAAGACGCCATTGAAGTTGAACCCTTTTGCGGTTTCAAAGGCTATTCAAGGCATTGCAGGTGACGTCAAAAACGTTAAACGCTTGCGTTCAGGAGCTCTTCTCATTGAATGTAGTAAAAGACAGCAAGCTGCAAACCTGATGTCAACGGAATTGTTTGTAGGAATTGCAGTGTCAGTCTCAGCTCATAGAACGCTAAACACAAGCAAAGGCATAATTCGAGATCGGGATCAATTGTTTGCGGACATGACGGAATTAGATATTGTAACAGAGATGAAAGATCAAGGTGTCATTTATGTCAAAAGATTTACAATCCGGAAAACAAAGAAACTATTCCAACCAACACGTACTTGTTTTCCTTTTCCTCTCCAATTGCTCCGAAATCATTAAAAGCTGGATACTGTAACATCACTGTTGATACCTATGTTCCTAATCCATTAAGGTGCTTCAAGTGCCAAAAATTCGGTCATGGAGTGAACACTTGTACATTGTCTGTCACGTGCGCCCATTGTGGTGAGCAGACACATACGACAGAAGATTGTACCAACAACTTTAAGAAATGCACTAATTGCGCCGGTAGCCACTCATCTTTCTCAAAGGACTGTCCAATTTGGAAACGGAACATGGAAATCAACAGAATTAAATTTACTCAAAACATTAGTTTTGCAGATGCAAAAAAACTTGTTCAAAGATCGGACCTCACAGAAACTTATGCTTCCGTCACCAGAACATCACCTGAACCAACCTTGACCGTAGTCAAATCTTCTGCATGCTGTCAAACCAACTTAACATGGGTTAATACTGACGCTCCTCAGGTTTTGCTACCCGAAACATCCACTCAAACTACTGAAGTCATTCCAGAGGCCACACGTGTTCATGATGCACCTTGTACTATGGAGAAATCATCTCAGCCAAATACAAAATTTCAATCTCAATCAAATATGACAGAAACTGTTAAAAAAAAGCCTAAATCTAAATGTGAATCTTCACAAAAAAATCAAAGTGGCAGAGCCTCAAAGGGTTCTAATAACAAAATCCAACTTTTTAATAAGTTCGGATCCTTAGAGGACATGGATGTGTCCGAAAACATCCAAAATAGGGCACACAGCTTGTCGCCCTCAAGAAGAGTGCGGGGTAGATCCCCAATCAACCCACCAAACAGTTAATGTATTCTAACAATATAGTACAGTGGAATTGTAGAGGATTAAGATCTAATTTTAATGAATTGCAGTTATTAGTCCAGGATCTGGCACCATCGGCATTCTGTCTGCAGGAAACTTATCTGAAACAGACAGATACTTTTAATCTACGTCAGTTCGAAGCATATCATTCTTTCTCACCTCCGGGTGATAGGGCCACTGGCGGGTCTTCAATTCTTGTTAAACAGAATGTAATTCACAGCCCCGTCACACTTACAACTAATCTTCAAGCCGTTGCAGTGAGACTTACTCTTCATGTTGCCTTCACATTATGCTCTCTATATATTTCCCTTCTTCAACACTCCAACAGTCTGATCTCCAAGCTCTCTATGACCAACTTCCTAAACCTTGTCTTATAATGGGTGATCTTAATGGCCATAACCCGATCTGGGGTGGTACAAGCACTAACTCTAAAGGTAAAATACTTGAAGAATTTATCTCCAATAATGACTTGTGTATATACAATGACGATTCAAGCACTTATCTGCATCCTGCAACCGGCACCTACTCTTCTCTAGATTTGTCTCTTGCAGACTCTAACCTCCTCAATGAATTTGATTGGTCAGTCCACAATGACCTCTGTGGAAGTGACCACTTTCCAACTATCCTATCAGGAATTTATCCATCTGATTCTACATCTTATACAAGATGGCAATTTTCCAAGGCAGACTGGTCCTTATTTCAAACGTTATGCACATCTAAACTAAGACCCGAATATTTCAGTGATTTCACTGATCCTATTGAGGTTTATTCTGACGTTTTAAATGAAATAGCTGATGAATGTATACCAAAGTCCTCTACAACTCCACATGTACGGAAACCATGGTTTAATATTGATTGTAGGCAAGCCAGAAAAAAGGAGGAAAAAGGCAGAGAACTATTTCCGCCATCACCCAACTGTCCATAACTTAAATAAATTTAAAATATACTCAATGCGAAGGCACGTCGTACCTTCAAACAAAACAAACGACAATCTTGGAGGAACTATGTCTCCAAAATTAATTCACGTACGCCAATGTCCAGAGTATGGAACATGGTTCAAAGAATTAAAGGTAAAGGTTCAAAGTCTGCTGTTCATCATCTTAAAGATGGCGATAATTTAATAACTGACAAGTCTAAAATTGCAGATAAAATTGGCGAAACTCTTGCCAAAAATTCTTCATCGGCAATTATGTCCCTGAGTTTCAGAGATATCAGAAACAACAGGAAAAGAAAAAACTTAATTTTGAATCAAATAACGGTGAAGACTATAATGAAGTATTTTCATTACATGAGCTATATACAGCTCTTGAGCAAGCTCATGACACTGCAGCGGGTGATGACAATATTCATTATCAGCTACTGAAACACTTACCTGAATCATGTCTGGTCACACTTTTAGATATATTTGACAAAATATGGACGTCTGGAAATTTTCCTCCCTCGTGGCGTAATGCCATTGTTGTCCCCATACCAAAACCTGGCAAGGATCATACTGATCCGTCGAATTACAGACCAATATCTCTAACTAGCTGTGTCTGTAAAACCATGGAACGTATGGTGAATAATAGATTAACTTGGTATCTTGAAACCAATAACCTGATAACAAATATTCAATGTGGTTTCAGGAAAAATCGTAGTACCATTGATCATCTGGTACGTTTAGAATCCTTTGTCAAGAATGCTATAATTAATAAACAACATGCTGTATCAATTTTCTTTGATCTTGAGAAAGCTTATGATACGACCTGGAAGCATGGCATTTTGAAGGATTTACATGATTTCGGTTTGAGAGGCCGTTTGCCTCTCTTTATATCACAGTTTTTAAAAGACAGACAATTTCAAGTCCGAGTGGGTTCAACCCTGTCTGACCATTATAATCAGGATCAGGGTGTCCCTCAAGGCAGTATTTTGTCTGTCACATTGTTTAGTATCAAGATAAACAGTTTATCCAAGGTTTTAAACGATTCAATTGATGGATCACTTTTTGTGGATGATTTTAATATTTCTTGTCGTGGTAAAAATATGCATACTATTGAACGGCAATTGCAGTTGTGTTTAAACAAAATACATAAATGGTGTCTTGAAAACGGCTTTAAATTTTCCAAGTCAAAAACTAATTGTCTACACTTTTGTAGAAAATATAAACCGCATAAAGATCCTGAACTATCCTTAAATGGCACTCCCATCAAAGTTGTTAAGGAGGCCAAATTCTTGGGTCTAATTTTCGACTCCCATTTAACCTTTTTGCCGCATATTAAATCCCTAAAAACTAAATGCCTGAAGGCACTTGATTTGTTGAAAGTCGTGTCTAATTCAAGGTGGGGAGGGGATCAAGCTACCCTTCTCCACCTATATAGATCATTGGTTCGCTCGAAACTTGATTATGGCTCCATCGTATATGGTGGAGCCTGCAAAAGCAACCTAAAACTTCTTGATTCTGTTCACCACCAAGGCCTAAGACTTTGTCTTGGGTCCTTTAGAACCTCTCCTATTGATAGTCTCTATGTTGAAGCAGATGAGCCTTCTCTTACACAACGTCGGATAAAATTATCCTTACAATACGTTACTAAACTATATTCTAGCGATTCTAACCCTGCATTCAACTGTGTCTTTAATCCCTCTATGAGGATTTATACAACAAAAAACCTTCTCTTGTTCCGCCTCTTGGGCACAGAATTAAGCCTTTCATTTCTGCTGCCGGCATTGAGCTGGAAAATATAGCTCCTTCCCGTCTTCTTTCTTCTCCTCCTTGGCAATTGGTGAGGCCAGACGTTGACTTAACATTAACCACATTTAAAAAATCAGAAACTAATGATTTACAGTATAAACAAGAATTTAGTCAATTAAGAAATAAATATAATACCTATAAATCCTTATTTACAGATGGATCCAAGGATGGTGGCGCGGTTGCTTGTGCCACTGTCATTGGGTCCAAAACAATATCTTCCAGACTACCCAATGACAGTTCAATTTTCACAGCAGAAGCTAACGCAATACTAACAGCTCTTAAATATATTAATAAACACCGTAAATATAAACAATATATCATCTTTTCAGATTCTCTTCGTGTCTTCAGGCTATTAAAAATCTTTCTTGCAAACATCCACTTTTATTAGAAATTATTGAATTGTACAATGAACTTGCTACTGGCCAATGCGACATCGTCTTTGTTGGTTACCCAGCCACGTTGGCATTTCTGGGAACACAATGGCTGATATTGCTGCCAAGGCAGCACTCAACAAATCTGTGACACCACTTCTTATTCCTTACTCTGATTACAAAGCTTGTATTAGAACCTATATCCGTGATCTGATGCAGAAGAAGTGGGACACCCAAGTAGGTATCAATAAATTACATGAAATAAAACCCTACATTGGTTACACTTACTTGGGTTGTCAGTCCAGATTTGAAGAGGTCATTATGCGGCGATGTCGCATTGGCCATACAAGGTATACCCATGAATATTTGCTTAAAGGCGAAGATCCTCCGTTTTAGCATCCCTTGTGATGAAAGAATCACAGTCAAACATGTCTTGCTTGACTGCATCGAATATTCCATCACAAGGGATATCTATTTCAAAGTAAACACTATGAAGGATCTTTTAATAATGTCAGTGTTCATTTAATTATTGCTTTTTAAAAGAATTAGATTTGTTAAGTGATTTGTAAATAGATATATATTTTATTATTGGTAGTTTGAATTAGTAACTGAGATTGTTAGTGGCTGTACCCTCAAAGGGGTTGAAGTATTGCAAAATTATTGTCCTCCTGAGAGGGTACGTAAGTCCCAAAACATTTAGTCAATTTAAGTGTACCAGGTTTTAATCGTAGAATATGTGTGCTTTTAATTTATGGCTAGATTTCTCTTCTGTCGCCAATGGCTGAAGGGATGGTGTAAATCCAACTAGGGTCCATGCAGGTAGCAAAAGTAATGTAAGTCCCCATGGTCCCTGGTCTGGTGATCTACCTTCAGTTATTGGCGATTTATAGTCCATTTTTAAAACTGTATTGTTGTCCCCTATAGTTATAACGTTTTAGATTTAATTACTAGTTTTACATACATATCTGTGATATTCTAGTTGTTTTACTGTCCTTTGTCGGCAGGTTTTTATAATATACATATATTTCATTTCAATATCAAATGTTCTCGTCACGATATGGCTGAAATATTGCCGATGTGACGTTAAATATTAACTCACTCACTCACTCCATGTTTGTTTGTTGCAAGACCTCACAGAACAGTAGTCTGCAACAAGACTGCGGGTTGTAAACAAACCAGAAAATCAAATCATCAGAAAGTCCACGTCTTGAGTGTTGAAGAGGAGCTGTCCTCTCCTAATAAGTAAATACACCCGTGAAGATCAGGGTTAGAATTGGTCTTCAGTAACCAATGCTTGTCGTAAGAGGCGACTAACGGGATCGGGTGGTCTGGCTCAGTGACTTGGTGGACACATGTCATCGGTCCCAATTGCGTAGATCGATGCTCATGATGTTGCTCACTGGATTGTCTGGTCCAGACTCGAATATTTACAGACCGCCGCCATATAGCTATAATATTGTTGAGTGCGGCGTAAAACTAAACTCACTCATTCTAAGTAAATACTTATTGTGTATGTTCATTGTGTAACACTGTTGGTGCCTTTAATGGTATGGAGGTAATCGTGATGACTGACATGGTATGACATTGACATAGGAGTACAGCATCACAACTGCTCTAGTACTTCCGGGTTTTCGTGCCTTTAAATCCATTCAACGCAGCAAGATTTGTAGTTACCTTCAGCTCATCTGTATCGGGAGGTGGTTTGTTGTCGGACATGGCTAGATGAGTTGAAAACAGTCTTATCATGGTTACATACTTCGCAATTCCAAGACCTTCTGTCACTCCTCCCTTAAAAGATATTAAAGAGGGTGGGTTATAAATCTCAACCAAACCATAATAATACCAGATGTTTGCGAAAAATACATGCAAAGGCTAGCCAACTATCTGATATAATGATGATAATTGATACCTGTATAAAAGAACATAAAACCTCAACAGCTCAGGTAGACAGCAAATCAGCCCTCTCAGACCACCAACATGAACATACGGATCTATTCCAATTTGACAAAGTTGCAATCACACAATTTCAAGTTCCCACTTTCGAGACCTAGAAGTAATTACAACATTGATCCAATGCCGCCAACCCACTAATCAGCCCACCTACCACTATACCCATTACTCTTGCAGAAGTGGCGACAGTCCTCGCTTGAAAGGTGTCGACGATGCCCTCCTTGATGGGTATGTACATGACATAGGACAGGCCAGCAAAGGCCACTGCGATACCCACGAGGAACGGTAGAGTACAGCAATACATTGTCGTCTGTAACATAATAAAATCAGATTTGAATTGAATGTACCGAAGGAGTTGTTTATTCAAGCGTTTGTCTTTATCAGAGGGCATTCGTACAGGGAAGACCTCAGCAATTACACTAACGTACCGTTAGTGGTCTAATGTGTATTCAGGGGCGGTGGGGGTAGCCTAGTGGTTAAAGCGTTCGCTCGTCACGTCGAAGGCCTGGGTTCGATTCCCCACATGGGTACAATGTGTGAAGCCAATTTCTGGTGTCCTCAGCTGTGATATTGCTGGAATATTGCTAAAAAAGGCGTAAAACAAAACTCACTCAATCAATGTGTATTAAATAGCCACCCAGGTTGTCAGATGATGTACACTGCAGTTTGCAGGTACTTCTTATTGACAGTTCCGTAAAATTACAGAGTAAGTTTCCGAAACACTCTGATACAATCGCGACAGGTTTGCTGAAATCTCCTACGGTATAGTTGTGGAAATTCAGTGAGCATACAGTCGCACTGTTCACAGCTTCCTTAAAACTCCCTCACTAACTCTAGTGTAACACTGACAACGTCAAGCCATATATTGCACACCTGATCGTTTAACATAGTTTGGTGAGTGAGGCCTCAAAATTATGATTTAAAAACAACTTCAATACATTAAGATGAATCCAGCCCTACATACACATTACGATGAGTAAGATAGATATATCTAATTTTGACAGGAAATGCCACTTGACGCTATCATAGGTCAAATACTGAACCCTATACTAAATAGGTGCAACTCAGATACTGATCCATGTAAATACAAGCACCCATAGCAATGCTGCGCAATCACAAGATCCATCTACAGCATTACTTGTGTTTGACGTCTTCATTCAATGTTTTAAAATAAGAAGATTGGGACAAAGGTCAAGGACAAAGCTCTTAACTATCGTGGATGACAAACAATGGCATGGATTTCATATCACCAACATGTGGAATCAACAACACTTTTCTTGGTACGTGTCAACAAGAAGATCTGAAATATCTGAGGTTCAGCAATGCGTTGCATGAGGATTGTTACTTTATAGGGAGTGAGTTTGGATTTACGTCGTTTTTAACAATATTCCAGCAATATAACGGGGGGGGACACCAGAAATGGGCTTCACACATTGTAGTGTTTGTACCAATGTGGGGTATCGAACCCGGGTCTTCGGCGTGACGAGCGAACGCTTTAACCACTGGGCTACTACATCGCCCCCTCGTTACTTAGGAACATAAAATAGAAGTGTATCCGAGTGACCTTGCAGAAGTAGTTAGGATGGTAAAGAATGCATTAGGTTTGTAAAACAACAGTGTGCTCATTGTGAAAACATCGATTGATAATCATTAAAAACAGCATGTTGGATCATGGATCAGATTTCACCAAAATGACAAATGGCAAAACATAGGTATTTCAATGTGGTACCATGCATTGTGACGTCATTTCCACCTCATCGCGAACTCGACACGGCACTTACAGCGACTTTATCAACTCAACAGACATATCAGCCACCATCTCGTGACTAGCTGACACATAAGGCCATGGTTCCTAATATGGTGATCTACCTTCAGTTGTTGGCGATCTGTAGCCCGTTTTTATATTGTATTGTCTGCTTAACTAAAATGTTTTAGTTTTCCATGCTAGTTTTATATCCATATCTGTGATACTCTAGTTATTTTGGCACCCATGAAGGGCCACCTCCTCGTGGTGGGTGCTGGGTAACGCCAAGCGCCCTTCACCCCCGTTGTGGACCCGGGGGGATATATGGTCCACCAACCCGTTTGCCGTGGGTTGCGCCCCTGTGTCGGTGGAGGACGGTAGTCTGGTGGTTGAGGGCAGTAGGAGCCTGGAACCGTGTTCCTATTGCCCAACACACCACTTCGGCCCTTACTTCACCTAGACGGGTGGTAGAATCGGCCCGATTCTATCAATCGGCTGGTCACGCCATGCCCTGAGCATGTGACATTTGTATTTGTTACATTCATACCTGTTTCTTTAATGGACATAACAGACAACAGTTTAAAAAAACACCTTTGCCTAGAGACTATATGCCAGAAGGCGGTGGCTCATGGGCCAATCTGGCATTTTTGACCTCCAGATTCTATATGCCTTCAGGTATCTGTCTTGGGCTGAACCAACCTGACCTTTATTCTGTTTGGCAGAAATAGCTATCTGAGTCATTATTGCTTGAGTATAACATTCCTGTACCCCTGGTGTTTGTAGGCGGCTTCCACTATAACACTGTCCTTGTTGACACTCGATGGCGGGTGGGGAGCAGGGATGTCGAATAACCTTTCTCCCATTATGGATACCTCAAATTTAACTGGTTCTCGTTCTAAAACGAAAAGACGTCACATTGATGCAGATATAGCAACATCTTCCGACGAGGAATCTGTTCAAAATGTTGATTCTTGGCCACGTTTTCTAGTCGTTGAAGGAGTTAATAGTGAACCACTGAAAATCAATCCCTTCGTTGTTTCTAAATCTATTGAAGGAATTTGTGGTACAGTTAGAAATGTCAATGCCTCCGCCCGGTTCCCTGCTGGTGGAATGTACAAGGAGACAGCAGTCTCAGAATCTTTTAAAGGCACATCATTTTGCAAACACGGAGATCGTTGTGTCAGAGCACAAAACTCTCAATTCATGTCGAGGCATTGTCCGAGATCGTGCCAAGTGCCTCTCAGACATGTCCGAGGAGGAAATTGTGACAGAACTGAAGCCCAAGGGTGTATCATCAGTGAACCGATTTACAAGGAAAGATGGTGACAATATTGTAAATACCAATACATACCTGTTCACCTTTGCCCTAACAAAGATCCCTACATCGATCAAAGCAGGGTATTTCAACATCGGAGTTGATGTGTATATTCCTAACCCCCTCCGATGTTTTAAATGTCAAAGATTCGGACACGGAGCTAAATCATGTCGTAACGCCCAAGTTTGCTCCCGCTGCAGTAAACAACACGAAAGCACAGAGTGCACAGATGATATCAAATGTGCCAATTGCAGTGGAACTCACATGTCCTCTTCCAAATCATGTCCCTCTTTCGTCACGCAGACACAAATATTAAAATTAAAATATACCAATGACATTTCGTTCACAGAGGCACGGAAATTGGTAACAAATGCACCAACCACTCCTTCTCCTTCACTGACTTATTCCACTGCAGTTTCCTATACTCCTCTCAAATCTGATAATGGTTGTCAAACTGCTATTAGCTGGGTATCAAACGATCAGAAAATACTGTATCCAATCGATGCTGAAGACTCACTCACTTCATCTGCTTCGCAGACTGACTCTGTCCCTGAACCCGTGATTGTGGCTGACTGTGTACATGCCGAGAAAACGAATAGAACTCTAACTGCAAAAGAACGAAAACAACAACGGAAAAAAGAAGCAAGGTCCTTTAAAAATATTAAGGTCCCGTCTACCTCAACAGCCCCTGTGGATGTTCATAACGTCTTTGAACCTCTAGATATGGAAGTCAATCCACCGCTGCCTTTGCAGCATAGAGGGCAATCCAACCGCTCACTATCTCCAGTTAAGCCACCATGAGTGGCTTTCCCACTATCATACAATGGAATTGTAGAGGACTTTGGAACAATCTAAATGATCTTCAACTTTTAACACAGGATTTCAAACCATCAGCATTTTGTTTGCAAGAAACTTTTCTCAAAAGCACCGATAAATTTGACCTAAGACATTATGATTCATACCATAGCTTTTCCTCCAGGGGATAAAGCTACTGGCGGTTCTTCTGTTTTAGTGAGGCAGGGCATCATTCATAGCCCTGTTCCTCTCAATACCCCTCTCCAGGCTGTTGCAGTTCGAATAACATTAAATGTTGTTTTCACATTATGTTCTTTGTACATTCCACCGTCGACTTGCCTTCAACAGTCTGCACTTCAGGCGCTATATGACCAGCTCCCTAAGCCCTGTGTCATAATGGGAGATTTAAATGGTCATAACCCACTTTGGGGTAGTAATAACTGCAATACAAAAGGTAAAGTACTGGAGGATTTTTTCTTAAACAACGATTTATGCATATTTAATGATGGTTCTCATACATATCTACATCCAGGAACTGGAACTTACTCTTGTCTGGATTTATCCATTGTTGACTCTAATTTACTGAGTGAATTTGAATGGTCAGTTCACGATGACCTCTGTGGAAGTGACCATTTTCCCACCCTGTTAAAATCTGTGACACCTTCTGATGTTCCTCCTTCATCACGGTGGAACTTTGCTAAAGCTAACTGGGATTTGTATGAAACTCGTTGTTCTACTAAACTTACACCTGGTGCTTTTCGTGATGTTTCCGACCCTGTAGCACTCTTCTCTAACGAACTTCTGAAGATAGCTGATGAATGTGTTCCGAAGTCCTCTTCCAATCCACACATACGCAAACCATGGTTTACTACTGACTGCAAACAAGCTAGGAAGGCCCGGAAGAAAGCTGAACAGTATTTCCGTCGCCATCCTATGGTCCATAATTTCAATAAGTTCAAAATTTTAAATGCTAAAGCAAGGCGTACTTTCAAACAAAACAAACGCCAGTCTTGGCGAAATTATGTTTCAAAATTAAACTCACGTACGCCAATGTCAAAGGTATGGAACATGATACAGAAAATCAAAGGGAAAGGTTCTAAATCTAGTATTCACCATCTTAAAGATGGGAATGAATTATTGACTACTTCATCAGATATTGCTAATAAACTTGGTGAGACTCTGGCCAAGCATTCTTCCTCATCTAACTATGTACCTGAATTCCAAAAATATCAAAAACTGCAAGAAAAGAAATCTATTAATTTTACTTCAGATAATGGGGAAGACTACAATGAAACCTTTTCGATACATGAGCTTCATACTGCTCTTGACCAAGCTCACGATACTGCTTCAGGAGCTGATGGTATACATTATCAACTCCTGAAACACTTACCTGAATCATGTTTAGAGACGCTCTTATCTATTTTTGATGTCATTTGGACATCTGGACAATTTCCTTCGTCGTGGCGCGATGCTATAATTGTGCCCATCCCTAAACCTGGACGTGATCATACTGATCCTTCCAATTATAGGCCAATTTCATTAACTAGCTGTGTTTGCAAGACCATGGAACGCATGATAAATAATCGACTTGTTTGGTACTTGGAAACCAATAACCTTATAACTAATATACAATGTGGTTTCCGTAAAAACCGTAGTACCATCGATCATTTGGTGCGCTTAGAATCTTTTGTGAAAAATGCCATAATTAATAAACAGCATGCAGTGTCGATCTTTTTCGATTTAGAAAAAGCATACGACACAACATGGAAACATGGGATTTTAAAGGATTTACATGACTTTGGATTACGAGGCCGTTTGCCTCAATTTATATCCAACTTTTTAAATGACAGGCAATTTCAAGTCCGAGTGGGTTCAGCCCTGTCTGACCATTATAATCAGGATCAGGGAGTCCCGCAAGGCAGTATTTTGTCTGTAACACTGTTTAGCATCAAGATTAATAGTTTATCCAAGGTTTTAAACGATTCAATTGATGGATCACTTTTTGTGGATGATTTTAATATTTCTTGTCGCGGTTAGAATATGCATACTATTGAACGGCAAATGCAGCTGTGTTTAAATAAAATACATAAATGGTGTCTTAAAAACGGCTTTAAATTTTCTAAATCCAAAACTAATTGTATACATTTTTGTAGAAAATATAAACCGCATAAAGACCCGGAACTGTTTCTCAATGGCACTCCCATCAAGGTTGTGAAGGAGGCCAAGTTCTTGGGTTTTTAATTTTTGACTCGCATCTAACGTTTCTTCCCCATATCAAGTCCCTAAAAAATAAATGCTTGAAGGCACTTGACTTGTTGAAAGTCGTTTCCAATTCTAAGTGGGGAGGGGATCAAGCTACCCTCCTACAATTATATCGATCATTGGTACGTTCCAAACTTGATTATGGCTCCATCGTTTATGGTGGAGCCTGCAACAGTAATTTAAAACTTTTAGATTCTGTCCACCACCAAGGTCTAAGACTATGTCTTGGTTCCTTTAGAACTTCACCTGTTGACAGCCTCTACGTCGAGGCTGATGAGCCATCTCTTACACAACGCCGCATAAAATTAACTTTACAGTATATTACAAAACTTTATTCCAATGAGTCAAACCCTGCATATAACTGTGTCTTTAATCCACTATACGAAGATCTGTATAACAAGAAGCCTTCTCTTGTTCCGCCTCTTGGTATAAGAGTGAAACCTTTTCTTTCTGCTGCTGGCATTGAGCTAGAACATATAGCTCCTTCCCGTTTTCTTTCTTCTCCGCCTTGGCAATTGGTTCGGTCACAAGTTGACCTAACATTAACTACATTTAAAAAATCAGAAACAAATGAATTACAGTATAAACAAGAATTTAGTCAATTAAGAAATAAATATAATACATACAAATCCTTATTTACAGATGGGTCCAAGGATGGTGGCGCAGTGGCATGTGCCACTGTCGTTGGATCCCGAACAATATCTTCTAGAATACCGGATAACAGCTCTATATTTACAGCAGAAGCAAACGCCATCTTAACAGCTCTTAAATATATTAATAAACACCGTAAATATAAACAATATATCATATTTTCAGATTCTCTTTCGTGTCTTCAGGCTATTAAAAATCTTTCTTGCAAACATCCACTTTTATTAGAAATTATTGAATTGTACAATGAACTTGCTACTGGCCAATGCGACATCGTCTTTTGTTGGTTACCCAGCCACGTTGGCATTTCTGGGAACACGATGGCTGATATTGCTGCTAAGGCAGCCCTCAACAAATCTGTGACACCACTTCTTATCCCATACTCTGATTATAAAGCCAGCATTAGAACATACATCCGCGATCTAATGCAAAAGAAGTGGGACACCCAAGTAGGTATTAATAAATTACATGCAATAAAACCCTACATTGGTTACACCTACTTGGGTTGTCAGTCCAGATTTGAGGAGGTCATTATGCGCGACGATGTCGCATTGGCCATACCAGATATACTCATGAATATTTATTGAAAGGCGAAGATCCTCCGTTTTGTATCCCTTGTGATGAAAGGATCACAGTCAAGCATGTCTTGCTTGACTGCATTGAATATTCCATCACAAGGGATATCTATTTCACATCCAAAACTCTGAAGGATCTTTTTAATAATGTCAGTCCTCATTTAATTATTGCATTTTTAAAAAAATTAGATTTGTTGACTGATTTGTAAATAGTTAAATATTTTATTATTGGTAGTTAAAATTAGTAACTGAGATTGTTAGTGGCTGTACCCTCAAAGGGGGCTGACGTAGCGTAAAATTATTGTCCTCCTGAGGGGGTACGTAAGTCCCAAAACTTTCAAAGTCAATTTAAGAGTACCAGGTTTTTAATCGTAGCATTCTTGTAATTTTAATTGTAGCTAACATTCCTTACAATCGCCAGCAGCTGAAGGGATGGTGTAAATCCAATTAGGGTCCATGCAGGTAGCCAAGGTACTGTAAGTCCCCATGGTCCCTAGTTTGGTGATCTACCTTCTGGTGTTGGCGATCTATAGCCCATTTTTACATTGTATTGTCTTCTTTCATAGGAATATTTTAGCTTTGTTTGCTAGTTTTATATTTTCATATCTGTGATTATCTAGTATTTTTACTGTCCTTCGTCGGCAGGTTTTTATAATATCTATATATATATTCTATTTCTTACTGTCAAATGTTCTCGTCACGATATGGCTGAAATATTGCCGATGTGACGTTAAATATTAACTCACTCACTCACTCACTCTAGTTATTTTACAGTCCGTCGATGACTGGTTATTTACCTACTTGTATTTATTATGTATTCCCAACATTTCTCGTCACTATATGGTTGAAGGTGACGTTAAATTGTAACTCACTCACTCATAAGGATTGTAGGGGTGATTACATCAATTCTTTCTACATCATGACGCACTGTAACATTGATGCCTACGGCGTGTAGAGGCGAGACAATTTTACTACCTACATCATGATAAACTGCAACATCAATGCCCAAGTCATATAGACGTGTATCAATTCTACCTACGTCGTAATTAACTGTAACATCACTACCAAAGTCGTAGAGAGGTGTATCAATTCTACCTACGACGTGATTAACTGTAACATCGATGTCTACGTCGTGTAGAGGTGAATCAGTTCTACCTTTTACGTGTTATAACTGAAACACCACTGTATACGACGTGCTGGCATTATGCTCGTTAGCCTGCTGAGTACACACTTGTTTCAATGTAACAAACAGATCACTTGTCAACGATATCAAATATCAGTATAAAACCTTGTTAAAACGTCTAAACAATACTTTATTGTGGCGTGGTGTGGCATGGCGTGGCTTTTATCGCCAACTGACAATTTTATAGAAACCTCAGACATTTATAAGCGACGGAATGACGAATCAAACCAGGATACCATGAACAAACACGACTGTATGTAATCACTGGCAGTTATGAGGTCATGTTGACCTCGACGTTATGTCTATCCATGCCGTGATCGCCAGCAGTATCATATTTATACAACAGTAAAACGTCTCTCCAGTAATTACAAACTCAACACCTGTGAACAGAGACAAAACATAATTACCTGGACAGCCAGGTGACTAACAGGAGTAGTGAGTGAACTTTGATCAACAACACCTTACCTCGTTTGTTGCCGAGCATATCTATATGGTCGGCCTTGGATCCACAGCTCAGTGACCCACTTGTACTTAATAGATGCGATAGCTTTACCACGATGCACATACAGATACGACCTTGTGTGTAGCACAGGACAAAATACATAAAGTTTATTGAATCATATAACTCTCCGAGACACAATATCTCTCGGTGCACACACAGACAAATACCGACATCTACTGACGGATAGATGGTTGTATGGTTGTTTGTAAGGATGCATGTCTGTCTGTCTGTCTGTCGGTCTGTCTGTCTGTCTGTCTGCCTGTCTGTCTGTCTGTTTGTCTGCATTTTTAGTTTGGGAAGGGATGTCTTTGCTCAGGTAAAGTTGGAGATGTTGTCAAAAATATACAATCAAAATATTTAATGATTTTACAGTTTTCCGTTTCTGCGAAGGAAAATTCCAAACTGACGTTTCTTTTGCTGCTTAGTATATGTATGTATGGTTGTATGTATGTGTGGTTTTAGCTATGATGTGTATGATATTTATACGCGTGTACGTTGTGTATGACTGTATTTGTATTCATATTTTATTACTGGCATAATGTATGTGTTATCTGTGCAGATTTTATGGATGTTTGTATAACTCTCTCTCTCTCTCTCTCTCTCTCTCTCTCTCTCTCTCTCTCTCTCTCTCTCTCTCTCTCTCTCTCTCTCTCTCTCTCTCTCTCTCTCTCTCTCTCTCTTTTCCTCCCTCCCTCTCTCCCTCCTTCCCTCTCTTCCCCACCCTCTCTCTCCTTCCCCCTCTCTCTTACCTCCCTTAACACAAGATTACCCAAAAAGGCTTATAACATGCTTATTCATTTGGACAACATTGTTTTTAACTCAGTTTCGGGAAAGAAGTCTTAATATGTTTAATCAAGAATGGCATGCAGTAATAGATAATAGTTTACGGTATGACTCTTATAGAATATACAAATCACTACTCCAGCCGGAGAAATATCTGTCGGTGTTAACATCAAAGAAATTAAGATATCCATGTATACGTTTTAGGTTAGGTTTGATCAACATAATGGTAAACGAAGGAAGACGTTTTTATATTGAACGCTGAAAGAGAATGTGCCCACTGTGTAAATATAGATGTGGAAAAAGAAATACATTTGTTACTTGTATGTCCTTTTTATAAAGATTTGCGTACGAAATATATACCTGAATATTATCTGTGTAAGCCACCTTCATTAGCTTTTAAACTACTTCTTTCATCAACTGACCAGCATGTAATAATACAGCTGTCGTACTTTATCAATTATGCTCTTATTAAACGTAACAATCAGATAAAAAGTTTTGTAGACCCATCGTATTTCACTACTTGTACATAATTTACTGCCTGTATCATGATTTGCTGTTTAGATCACTAATTACTACTTATTGCAGCATATGTATAATGCATATGTATATAGGCGGGAGGCCTTTTGTACAATAAACATCTTTGACCTTGACTCCCTCTCTCCCTCCCTCCCTCTTTCCCATCCTCTCTCGTTCCCTCTCTCTCTCTCCCTCTATCTCTCCCCCACCCCTCGTCTCTCTCTCAATGCATCGCAATACTTCGAGGCCAATAGCGTATTGCACGGCTATTACTTCACTTTATTTTAAAAATCCACTATGTTCGCTCACTCGCCTCAGCAAATATGGCTTAGGAATTAGAACCGCCTTTCAAGACCAGTTTACAAAGTTTATTACAAAAATACAGATGAAGAATCAACTTGCACAGTTATAATATTATGAATCAAACATGAGAGAACAGGAACAGTAACAGATCATTTAAACTGTTTCTTTGCATACTTTACAAACATGTCTATTGTGTGATCAGCGTCTGCATACTTAGGCATGCCACCGCTCCACATCATAAAGCCATGTATAGACCCTGGGGAGTTGTAGACAACCACGTCCACACCGGCGTCCTTCATCCTCTGAGCATACATCAGACCATCATCCCTCAGAACATCAAACTCGGCTGTGACAACAAACGCTGGAGCTACTCCACTAAGATCCGGGGCCATCAACGGTGCAAAGTAAGGATTCAAAATAATCTTCTCGATTTGATTGGAGATCTCCTCATCGCCATAGTCTAAACCTGTATTTTCTGAGGGATGATATTTCGTTGGCAGCAGCTGGGAATCAACGTACGAAGCATATGTGGATTGTTTTAATTTCCTAGAAGTATGGTTATTGGTTCTGAAGGCTTTTGTCATGGTCGGTGTGTTGATACCCAAGTAGTTGCACCAAAACTGTGCCATCGTCTCGATTGACAGAAAGTAGGGTACTGCATCCGTATTGGAAATGTAGGATGGTGTCTTGAAGCTGAAGGCTTGGGTTACTGGGTAGATGAGCCACTGGAAGCTCAGTCTGGGGATGTCCTTCAGCTCCGAGAGTTTAAGAGCCACTGCAGCAGCAAGATTACCACCAGCACTGTCTCCTGTGTAAGAAGACGTGAGGTAATTAGATGTATATTTGTTTGTTACTTCTCTAACGAATTAGTAAGAGAAATAGTATGTAAAGAGCATTTGAACTACCAAATATTGTAGACAAGCGATTATACTGTCAGTGTGTGTGTGTGTGTGTGTGTGTGTGTGTGTGTGTGTGTGTGTGTGCGAGGAGAGAGAGAGAGAGAGAGAGAGAGAGAGAGAGAGTGAGTGAGAGTATGTGCATGTGTGTGCGTGAGGTTCGAACATGGTTACTGTGTGGGACAACAAGAGTGAGAGTTTTGTGTTTCAGTAACAGGCTTCTTACCTGCTATAGCAATCTTCTTTGGGTCCACTCCATACGTCTCTGCGTGTGTGAAGACGTGAAGGGCAGCCTTCACACAGGTGTCAAACGGTATTGGGAACGGATTCTCTGGAGCGAGTGGGTACCTGTAGAGTTTAATATTTTCGACATCTCATTGATGTTATTGGAGATCAATTCCATGTTATTTTTTGTTTGTTGTTTAACGCAAATCACGTAAAACTGTGATATAGTGCTGAATATAGAGATTGGTGTCTACTGAAAAAACATGCAAACAAAACAGGTGTGCCCATAACGTCTACACACAAACCAGCTACATCCACAACCAGATGTGTTTTGTAATAATGATAATAAGACGTCAATAAGACGTCGTCAGATGCCACCATTTGGTAACGTCAATGAAGATCCATGGCAAATGACATTTCGGTATCATCAGAGTGAATGAGTGAGTTTTGTTTTACGCCGCACGCAGCAATACTCCAACCATATGGCGGCGGTCTGTAAATAATCGAGTCTTAACCAGAAAATCCTGTGATCAACATCATTAGCATCGATCTACGCAATTGGGATACGATGACGTGTGTCAACCAAGTCAGGGAGTCTGACCATCCGATCCCGTTAGTCGCCCCTGACGACAAACATGGGTTCATGAAGACCAATACAAGCCCAGATCTTCACGGGTCCTGTCATAATGTTTTTTCTCTGTACCTCAGAACAGGAAGCAAGTTTGAAGAAATGTTAGTTGTGAGATATGTGCTTTGTATATGATCTCATGAATCCCGGTTGGAATATATCCCTATGACCCTACTTTTGTTGTATAAAGTGTCTCAATGAATTAGAGGTTGTACGGGGTTCGAATAGACCTCCACCTTCTGTCTGGGTTTTACTCACTCAATGGAAATAAAAATGTATCCAGATCTAACTGCAAATTCTGATACAACATCGTCGTAGATGTCTGGAAAACAATGAAATCGTATCATGTTATGTAGTTGCGTCGTTTCCTCCAATATCAATTAGTATCCTCAATACATGCAAACAACAAGTTATTTAAACATGACTGTACGTGCATAATTGAGGAATTTGTATATCAGGGTATGTTAGAATATTGTGTTACTTGAGGAATATATCGTTACACATCTTAAACACTAGACAGAGCAGAATGTTGATAGCGTAAGTATCAGTTCAGCATTCAAGCATCACGTTCACGCCAATCGCTATGGTTTTGTTTGTTGTTTTGCGCCACAATCAGCAATATCCATGTGATGGTGGTTTGTACATAATCGAATCCGGACTAGACTATCCAGTAATTGTAATCATGACTGACTGACTGACTGAGTTTAGTTTTACGCCGCTTTTAGCAATATTCCAGCAATATCACGACGGGGGACACCAGAAATGGGCTTAACACATTGTGCCCATGTGGGGAATCGAACCCGGATCTTCGGCGTGACGAGCCAACGCTTTAACCACTAGGCTACCCCACTGCCCCTGTAACCATGAGCATCAAATCAGCGAGCATGACCTTCCGATCCCGTTAGTCGCCTCTTTCGACAAGCATGGGTTGCTAAAGACCAATTCTCATCCGGACCTTCACGAGTCCAGACACCATGGTTGGAGTAGGTCAGTATTGAATATATAAAGTGTTGCCATACCCATGTTTAGGATGGTCCAGCCCCCACCATGTATATATATCACAGACGGCGAAGGGTTCTTGGCTTTCGTTGGCCGATACAGTCTTACGGGAATGTCATCAAAGACGTAGTCTTCTACCTAAAAAGAATTATAATAATAATAATAATTATATAATAACAGATATACTTATATACAGTACCGTGAGAAAATCCACGTATTGAGTGTGGAAGGGGAACTGCCTGTTCACAAGTAAAGACCATCGTTTGAGAGTGAGTGAGTGAGTTAAGATTTAAAGTCACAGCGGCAATATTTCAGCCATATCGTAACTAAAACTAGTGAGAGAGTTCAAAATACATACATATAATAAATAAAACCCTGTCATCGATGAACAGTAAAATTACTAGAGTATCACAAAATTAGGTAAAACTAGCTAACATATATCGTTAAAAGTAAACCCATCGATTGAGATATATTTAATCGTTTTGCAACATATTTTAAATGTCATGTCATGTAGGCCCGTTGTGACTGACATGGAGTAACCTGGGAGATGAACAGCCATCATTGACATTCGAGTACAACATCACAACTGCGGTAGTACGTAAG